TAACTCCTCAACAGTTCAGTAGGGAGTTGGAAGCTGGCTGTAGGGTAGGACCCAGAGAGTTCTAATAAATGGATATGTGTCATCCTAGTGAGAAGTGGCCTCTGGTGTCCTTCAGGGGACTGTGCTTGGTCCAGTGCTTTTCAACATCTTTATCAATGACTTCGATGTGGGGGTGAAGAGCTCACTGGCCAAGTTCGTGGATGACAACAAGTTATGGGGAAGCATGGTCACACTTGAAAACAGGCTGTGGATATAGGTGGACCTAGACAGGTTGGCAAGTTGGGTGGATCAGAACCAGATGAAGTTCAACACTGAAAAATGTAAAGTGTTCCACCTGGGGACAAACAATCCCCAACATGCTTACAGGCTCGGTGGTGCCAAACTGATTAGCACCGTGACTGAAAGGGACCTATAATAGACCACAGTATCGACATGAGCTGTAGGTGCGATGCGGTAGCCAGTAGGGCAAGCAATACTCTGACATGCATCAACTGATGCATGTCAAGCAAAGCCAAGAAAGTGATCCTTCTGCTTTACTCACCATTGGTGAGACTGCAGCTGGAGTCCTGCATCCAGTTCTGGGTGCTACACTTCAACAAGGATGTGGAAAAGCTTGAGAGAGTCCAGAGAAGAGCCACCCACATGGTCAGTGACTTGCAAGGCAAGCCATACGAAGAAAGGCTGAGGGGCTTGGGTGTCTTCAGTCTAAAAAAGAGAGTGACTGAGAGGGGACATGGCTGAGAGGGGACATGTAACTTACCGCTACATTAGGGGAGTACAGCAAGGGCTCAGCAAACAACTGTGCACCAGGGCGCCCTTGGGGAAAACCAGGAGTAATGGCCACAAACTCCTGAAAGACAGTTTTAGGCTTAACACTAGGGAGAACTTCTTCACAGATTGGATGTCCAGACTGTGACCGCCTTCCAGTGGCGGTGCAATCACCTACCCTAGAAATCTCCAAGAGGAGACTGGACAGTTACCTCGCTGGGGTCACCTGACCCCAGTTGTCTTTCTGCCTGGTGCAGGGGGGCTGGACCCAATGATTTTGCGAGGTCCCTTCTAGCCCCATACAATCTATGAAAAATCATGTTGCTGAGGCCTCCAATCATTTTATCTCTTTCTGTTAGAATCTTTCCAAATTATCCACATTTAATGTGAAGTGTGGGGCCCAAAACCAGACACAATACCCCAGCTGAGGCCTCACCAGTTCTGAATACAGCAGAAAAATAATTTCCCTTGGTTTGCAAATGACACTCCTATAAAAAAAAGAACAAAAACAATATGGTATTGTTTTTTTTATTTTGCAACAAGGGCACTTTTGTCTTTTATTCAGATTATATTTAACTGTACAGGTTTCCTTCGCTTTATGCCAGGTGTCAGCAAACCCCGGTATGCATGCCGAGCATGACACGCAAGGCCATCTTGCTTGGCACACCACTGCCAACCCAGGCTCTAAGCAGCTGTTGCCAGCCACAGAGCCCAGGTTGCTCCTAGTAGGCGCCTGGGAGGCTGCAAGGCCTGCTGCAAGTAGACTGGGCTCCGTGGGTCGGCTGCAGCTGGGAAGCTGCAAACAGCTGCTCCGGGCTCTGGCATGTCGGCCCTCCGGCACCTCCCAAGGTAGACATTGTGGTTTTTCAGCACTCCGGCCAAAAAATGTTGCCTACCTTTGCTTTATGCTGTACATGTGTTACTGGAAAACAGCGCATAACTTGAATTTGCATAAAGGGAACCCACTTTACAGTGTAACAAATAGGGATACGTTCCAAGACCTCAACTGTCCTGACACCCAGACCCATTTCTACCACTTTTACAAAACAATTTTGGTACTCACCAACATCAGACAGTACACACAAGCACAGGGGCGTGGTGAATATTACAATAATGGGGATGTCAACTGCAGAAAAATGTATCACAGACAATGAGCGAGGAGCACAGATCCACTCAGGAGGTTATATTTTGATGTGCGTCACTCCCCACAATGCACTACACCAGGCTTGTCCAACATACAGCCCATGGGCTGCCATGCGGCCCGCCAAGCCATTTTATCTGGCCTGTGGCAGCAGCAGCACCACCACCGCAGAGCGCGGAGCTGCTGTAGATTGTGGAGCTGCCACTGCGGAGGGCAGAGCCGCGGCGGTGGTGGTGCGGGGTGGCAGCAGCGGCGTGGAACGCAGGGCGGTGGCACAGAGTGCAGAGTCGCCACAGTGGTGGGACCATGGCGAGGCTGTCAGCCCGCGGCCCCCAGCCGGCAGCAAGGGAAGGGGAGCTTCTTACCCCCTTGGGGCCTGGGGCCCCGCATGGGAGGCACTGCCAGCCCATGCCTGCTTCCTCACCCACCCGCTTCAAGCCAGCCCCGCTGCCCTGCCCTGGCCAGCCCCACAGCAAGGCGGCGCCTGCTCCCCTGGCCAATATCCCCCCCAGGCACCACGGCTCTCTGGGCCTGGCCACCCACACACGAGGCCCCAAGGGGCCACTTCTCATGTGCTGCTCACGCCCGGGTCTGCCCCGGCCAGCAGAAGCGACAGCAGAGCCGTGTGCCGCTCGGGACGGAATGAGCCTGCACTGGTCAGTCCTGAGCGGCACACAGCTCCGCCGCCACTTCTGCTGGCCAGTGCAGACCTGGCCGGCCTCCTCCTGTCCTCAGCAGCACATGGGAAGCTGGCTTCAGCTGCATTTTGCTTTTCCTGGACGGTGCTGACCCGGTTCTGCCCAGGTGGGTCCTGCAGCATCATGTCAACCCGGCCATGGCACCAGCAGGCTGGGCGGGCCCCAGGTTAACCCGAGCCAGGCCCTGAGGCTTGTTCAGCACCAGGTCAATCCGGTTGTAGTCAAGCGGCTTCTGCAGCACCATGTCAACCCGGGCGTTCATGCCATGTCAACCAGCACCATGTCAACCCCTGCAAATTCCTTGGTGTCAAAAGTCACGTGACATCACTTCCTGATATGATACCACCTCCTGTGACGTCTTTGAATATGGCTCACCGGCCCACTGGGTGATAAAAAGTTCGTGATCTGGCCCCACATTCAAAAAGGTTGGACACCCCTGCACTACGCAAAGCATCTGACTACGGGCTTCCACCACACCGATCGCATAAGAGTGAATTTACCTCATGTATAACAAAATTTTGGTATAAAAAGGTAAATTGCATAAGAGTGAATTTGTACGTACAGAACTCACATAAAGTGAGGGAAACCTGTAGTTTATTTGGATTGTATCATATTGTTCTCTACTGCATTATTGTATTGTTATTGACCCTCTTTGGGCCACAGGCCTTTTTTGCCTTCTTTCTTCAGTTCATAGTTTGAACCCAAGTGTGTGT